TCTTCCGCCCTCTCTCTCTCTCTCTCTCTCTCTCTCTCTCTCTCTCTCTCTCTCTCTCTCTCTCTCTCTCTCTCTCTCTCTCTCTCTCTCTCTCTCTCTTCCGCTCTCTCTCATTCTCTTTCGCCCTCTCTCTCTCTCTCTCTATTTCGCTCTCTTTCTCTCTCTCTTTCGCTTTCTCCTATCTCCATCTCTATCTCTATCTCTATCTCTATCTCTATCTCTATCTCTATCTCTATCTCTATCTCTATCTCTATCTCTCTCTCTCTCTCTCTCTCTCTCTCTCCTTCTCCTTCTCCTTCTCCTTCTCCTCTCCTCTCTCTCTCTCTCTCCTTATCCTTCTCCTTCTCCTTCTCCTTCTCCTTCTCCATCTCCTTCTCCCTCTCCCCCTCCCCTCTCCCCTCTCCCTCTCCCTCTCCTTCTCCCTCTCCCTTTCTCTCTCTCTCTATCTCTCTCTCTTCCGCCCTCTCTCTCTCTCTCTCGCTCTCTCGCTCTCTCTCTCTCTCTCTCTCTCTCTCTCTCTCTCTCTCTCTCTCTCTCTCTCTCTCTCTCTCTCTCTCTCTTCCGCTCTCTCTCATTCTCTTTCGCCCTCTCTCTCTCTCTCTCTCTCTCTCTCTATTTCGCTCTCTTTCTCTCTCTCTTTCGCTTTCTCTAACTCCATCTCCATCTCCATCTCCATCTCCATCTCCATCTCCATCTCCATCTCTTTCGCTCTCTCTCTCTCTCTCTCTCTCTCTCTCTCTCTCTCTCTCTCTCTCTCTCTCTCTCTCTCTCTCTCTCTCTCTCTCTCTCTCTCTGAATTGATGAGAAAGGAAATAAGAAAAAGAAAATGTACATACAGCATGTAGAACAATATAAATAAATAAGTGACGAACAAATCAGCATAAAATTTAGCCAGAGTGATAAAATCATTGTATTCGACAAAATCCCGTAAAAGTTTGTTTATTTCGTCTTTTCGCGGAAATTGAAGAGCCTTTGACAGGATTTCGATCTCCTTCCGTGGCGATTTACTGCCTAACCGAAGAGGACTTTAAATCGGATTAACTTCATATCAAAAAGGGGCATAAGAATAGAGAAACATAGAATAAGGAAGAAGAAAGAGGAAACTTTTTTCTTTCTTTTTTTGAGGGGGGAAATCTCTTATTCGGTGGGGAAAACGCGCAACGATAGCGAGGCATTTAAGGGATCCGACCCTAAAGAAGGTAATGCGATCCCGCGGGAAAAGGGATAAAAAGCATCGGGATCAATACGGGGATCAGATTCGATGTGTCTGGGATTCGCTTCGTCCTTGTAGTAATAGCTGGATATGCTGGGGGGGGAGGGGGGGGGGGAGGGCTGGAGAGTTTGAGAGGCATGAGAGATGGGGATTTGTCCATGTCTGTCTGTCTGTCTGTCTCTCCCTCCCTCTCTCTCTCTCTCTCTCTCTCTCTCTCTCTCTCTCTCTCTCTCTCTCTCTCTCTCTCTCTCTCTCTCTCTCTCTCTCTCTCTCTGTATGTATGTATGTGTGTCTGCCTGTCTGCCTGCCTGTCTGTCTGTCTCTGCCTGTCTGTCTGCCTATCTGTCTGTCTGCCTATCTGTCTGTCTGCCTGTCTGTCTGTCTGTCTGTCTGCCTGTCTGTCTGTCTGTCTCTGCCTGTCTGTCTGCCTATCTGTCTGTCTGCCTATCTGTCTGTCTGCCTGTCTGTCTGTCTGCCTGTCTGTCTGTCTGCCTGTCTATCTGTCTGCATGTCTGCCTGTCTGTCTGCCTGCCTGTCTGTCTGTCTATCTGTCTGCATGTCTGCCTGCCTGCCTACCTGTCTGCCTGGCTGTCTGCCTGTCTCTGCCAGTCTGTCTGTTTGTCTCTGTCTGTCTGCCTGTCTATCTGTCTGTCTGTCTGTATGTATGTCTGCCTGCCACACATATGTCTGTTTCTATCTCTTTCTCTCTCTTATTCAGAACTTTTATCTCATTTATAGTAAGATAACAAAAAATCACTCAAAAGAGATTATGATATACTACAACTATTTTTTTTTTTTTTTTTTTTTATCAGGAAGTTGATCCCTTTCCTCTACAATATTATTTTATTATATTCGGGTTATATGAAGAGTTGTGATTACATATTGCTAACTTTTGTTATTGAATATTTACTATAATTTACTATGATTTTTGCGGAGAAAAATATTTGTAGTGATGGGATTTAAGCATTTTTATCCAGAATCTATTGCTGATGATATATAAGAGCTCCTTTAATTCGTGATAATCTAAACGTGTTGTTTCTGTTACTATGCCTCCAAAATTAATTGATTTCCCCCAAAGAAAAGTCACAGTTGCACACTCATGAAGGTATTTATGAGGTTGATGCGAGTGGAGGAGGGCTCCCTCTCCAGCCTTCTCTCTCTTTCCCTCTCCCTCCCTCTTCCACTATCTTGCTCTAATTGTCTATTGCCCTGATTTCTCTTTTTCTTTTCTTTCTCTTTCTCTTTCTCTTTCTCTTTCTCTTTCTCCTGCTCCAGCTCCTGCTCCTTCTCCTTCTCCTTCTCCTTCTCCTTCTCCTTCTCCTTCTCCTTCTCCTTCTCCTCTTTCTTCTTCTCCTTTTCTTTTAACTTTTCCTTTTCCTCCTCTTCCTCCTCTTCTTCCTCCCTCTTCTTGTCTTCCTGCCCCCGTCCTGTTCCTGTTTCTGTTCCTCCTTCACTCTGTTTACCCCCTTCTGATTTATACTTCCCTTTCTAAACTTTCTTGGTAAAAGAATAATATTTGTTCTTACTATTAGCCTTTTCTTTCTTTCCTTCTTTAGTTCCTCACTGTAACACTGTTTTCTAATGGGATGCCTCACTCAAGTTGCAGACTTGGGATTCCTGCCTCAAAATATCCATACTGATGAAACAAAATTAAAGCAAATATCTTACATTGGACAGATGTTCCAAATTTAACTCCTGTCACCTTTTCATTTTGCTATAACTACAATATGTAAATCCTTCAATATCATTCAATTATATATTTTTTGCAATAATTCCTTCCTCTGCGTGAAGAAAAAAATATTTCCTTCATAATTTCCATTTGTCATTTCTTTCTGTCACAATTGTAGAGAATAATTGTTGAATTCATCTCCTGATAAATATCTTCTGTTTCTGTAGAGGAATAAAGAAAACACATTCTTTCTCTCTCAGGCTTTTATTTTAATTCACACAAAGTAATGTGTGTGTGTGTGTGTGTGTGTGTGTGTGTGTGTGTGTGTGTGTGTGTGTGTGTGTGTGTGTGTGTGTGTGTGTGTGTGTGTGAATATTTTTTTCAACTTTTACAAGGGTTATAGTATGAAAATTCCTCTCGTCATATCAAAAATATCAATAGGAAATCCATTTGCCATACAGTTTGAGCAACATGTTTGTAGTTCATTGCCAGTACAGTACATTCTTTTCTTGCAATTTAATTAGTAAAATTAAACTATATTCAACTGTATTGCTATTTTTTTCTTTGAAACTTATAAAAAACAAAATAACAAACTAAAATCTCAACTTATTATCAAGAACACTGTGCATAACATTAATCCCTATCATTTGAATGATCATTACTATTAAACAAAGTTATATATAACCAAATACATCTATCAGTATTAAAAAAAAAGCACTTCTATAAATAAACAGCCCAATCATTCAATAATACAAAAAATGAAATAAATATGAGTTACAGTAGAAAATACAAAATAATTTTTTTTACATATTTCTTCATCTATCCATTCTTACTATCTTATTCTTACAGTATCACAATGTCTCTCTCCCTCCTCAACCCAACAGCAGATGGCAAAAAAATCATGCCATGCCCGACGGGATTTTAGTTTACCGATTGCATTTTCAAAGAGATGGCGCCACAAGTGCTTATTAGTCACCACTGAGTCGGTTCTTGTTCCTCCCTAGCTCACCTGTTTACTCTTTTCTCAATTTGTGGAAAGATTCGTTTTCATTATGATATTATATTTTAGTGTTATTAGTACTTTAATAACATCCTGATAATCATAATGCCAACAATAATTATCACAACATCAATGATAATCATATCAATTATAATAATCTTAATGTCAATAATAATAATAATAATAATAATAATCATCAAAATCAATACAGATAGAAAGGGAAAAAAAAAACTTTTCCCATAAACTGAAGGAATGAACAAATCAGGTCAACAGCCTTGGTGATTAAGCAATGAAATTCACAAAAAAAAAGTACGACAGACACAGCATAAACCCCGTTGTTGGGTTAAGTAGACGAGTCCTTAGTATCATAGATTCTTGTAAGCGTAATAACAGTATACTTTATTTGCACTCATTCAAATCACACCTTTTCTTCTTTAAGAAAGTATTGCTTTTGAAAGTAAAAATAAAATATATCGTCCAGAAAACCTCAACAAATCTTGTACGTTTCCCTCAAATTGAAGAAACTCTTCATTACCATTTCTGACGTGAGTGCAGACAGTCATTTGGGGAAATGTTAGCATCTAATGACCGCTGCCGTTGATTAACTGAATGGGACTAGAATAATAATGCAGGCATGGAATGGAGGCTCTTCACAGTTTGGCACAAAATGGCTTGCCACATGTGAAGGGCAATCCAGGGCGCTTGCATCTGAATAATACTGGAAAAGGATTCCCCGACTCCAGTGGCATAGAAACTGCATCTATGCACAAACATGGATATATAAATATATATATACATAAAAAATGTATATATAATATATATACATAATATATATTATGTATATATATATATATATATATATATATATATATATATATATATATATATATATATATATATATATATATATACATACATACATACATATATATATATGTATGTATATATATATATATATATATATATATATATATATATATATATATATATATATATATATATATATATATATATATACACATACACATATATATATGTATATATATGTATATATATATATATATATATATATATATATATATATATATATATATATATATATATATATATGTATGCATGTATGTATATTTATTTCTAATCTACTCTATCTATCTATCTATCTATCTATCTATTTCTAAATCTAACAGGGAAATATAAAAAACAACAGAATACAGTAATCACAGTACTTAATTCTCCTATTTGGCACTAAACCAAAATTTCAGAGAAAACCCTATTGCACTGTCATCTACTACTGC